CGCTGGCATTCAAGCTGCCCAGAAACGCTTGCAACTTACCTGCATCTTCACTTAGTAGCACAATGTCGCCCGCATACTCTAGATCAGACAGTCTGCCACCTGATAGTAAGTCAATGCCACTTTCCCCTCGCGATGTTAGGGCTGTTTCCATAATCAAATCTATAAAAAAGTTGAATAGAAAATTAGAGAGTGGGCAACCTTGTCAGACACCACTTTCTGTGGTGAACTCGGGCGAAAAGCCCGGACTCGACTTCGGCTATTAGTATAAAGCGATCGTAATATTGAAATAACCTTCTCGGACACACCCTTCCGAGAAATGCAGCGCCAGAGTTTAGAGCGGTTGACTGAGTCGAAAGCCGCTTTCAGATCTAGGAAGACAGAGATGGTGGGTCTACAAAAAGAATGTCGGTGCTCCAGAATTTGGCGGAGAGTGAAAATGTGGTGATACAATCTCAACCGGGTCTAAAACCAGCCTGGTTCTCACGCGTGCACCGTTCACGTGCTTCAGACAATCGTCGAGCATGATACCGACTAGAATTAAGGAGGCAATATTGATCAAACTAATTGTTATTAATAATAATGATAAAGAGCAACTACTCTACAAAATCGAACAAAATCTGGGAGATTTGAATTTACTCGCACGAAGCGAATGTGTCAATTAAAATCGCGACACGAGCGAAACCAAAAGTTGAACTATTCGAGGATAAATCGGCTCGGGCAGTGAGTTTGTGGATGGAACTTTCGAATCAGAGGATGAGCAACAGTACGCGGATTCATTCACATCAGCAACAGGTTGGTACAGTACAGTACAGTATAGTACAGTACAGTACAGTAGAGTACAGTACAGTACAGTACAGTACAGTACAGTACAGTACAGTACAGTACAGTACAGTACAGTACTTATCAGTGAACGATTCACGGATGCATGCATGCATGCATACATGCATCCATCCATTCTGAGAATGTATGTGCTGAAATGAGAAAGATGCGGTGAAGTAAGGCGTGTTATTCTATTTGTACGGTGGGGTAGGAGAATCCAGTGTAGTTAGTTGTCTAGGGCTTGAGGTTCGTGGTTTCCAAAAGGGAATTCGCCTTGCACAGAGAGCAAATGAAGCGTGAACTGAAAAGCTGGTAAGCACACTGGACAGATGCTTCGACCTGGACGGGTCTCACCAGGGCAGTGCGCGAATCCATCGACCCAATTGGGGATCGCGAACTCGGGATCTCACAGGCAAGCACAGGTCAAGCAAACGAAGTAAGAACTGAATTGCCGTGAAACGCCGTCTCATTGTTTCATTTGTGTTTGGAATTATTGGCAATGAATGTAATTCATTGCAATAGCGTAAACAAACTGGTCGAGCAATAAAACTAGCCTGGAGCAGTCTGATCATGTGCCGGAGTTGATCGAATCTGTGGGGTGCCAACACTCATTCTGAGATGTCCCAAATTCAGAACTCAGTTTCGTCTGTGCGACATATGTGAGCTCACAATTTGTGAGGTCATACTGATTCACGAGTCAAACCGTACTATATATATACATATATATATATATTCCCATTATAGCATTAAAAATCGAGTCGGTGAGCGAACAATTATTTTCGGATATTCCTAGTCATACTCTTACATATCATATAGTGGAAAAATTCCCACATCATGATAGCCATTGACTCAGTTTTAAGGTCATTAATCGGAGGCAGAGAGTAATAGAGGTGTATGGGTGTGTGAGTGTGTGTGTGTGTGTGTGTGTGTGTAGGAATGTTTAGCGCGTTATTGTTGTTGTTGTTGTAGCGCATGTTACAGGTTGTACGGTATGGCGTTTGTCTC